ACTTTTAGTTGGTCAATTAATTTCTTTCTATTTTTAGTAGAGACGGGGTCTCGCTCAGGCTGGTTTCGAACTCCCGACCTCGAGCAATCCGCCCGCCTCGGCCTCCCAGAGTGCTAGGATTACAGGCGTGAGCCACCGCGCCCGGCCATAACTTTCTTTTTAAAGACAATTTTGAAAATGTATAAAAACAGACAAATACAACAATCATTAAAAATAATTAACATTTATTAACATTTGGTATAATTCCTTCTAGTCCTTTATTATAATGTATATCAGGGAAGTTAGACATACTATTTTTAACTTAATTTTTATATTATATATAATTTTTTTTATAGAGATGGGGTCTTGCTCTTGCTCAGGGTGGTCTTGAACTCCCGAGCTCAAGCAGTCCTCCCACCTCAGCCTTCCATAGTGCTAGGATTACAGGAGTGAGCCACTGCACTCGGCCCTAAATTTTTTATTTATATGTATCTTTTTTCTTTTAAATATACATACCAAGTATTATATTAGGTTATTAATAATAGTCTGAATAATTCTAATGCATGGAGTTGGTTATGTCATAGTTTATTTAATCATATTTCCATTGTTAGGCATTTTTGGCTATTTACTAGTTTTTACTATTAAAGAACAATGCTACAATTTACATAAACTGAGTATGAAGGTTTTCCCATATTTAGGATTATTTTCTTCATATAGATTCGAAGAAATGAAGATAATGAGACAAAGAATGAACATTATCTACATTGTTAAATTGCTCTCCAGATGGATTGTAACAATTTACTTTCTTATCAGACTGTACAAAAGTGACCATTTCACCAAGACAGGTGGGATTTCTGTAGGCAGCAATAGGTTTCAAGGACATTTCAGAAAGACAAAATGGCACATATTAGGAAATAGAGGTAGGTAAGTATAAACTTACTGTGGCCAGAATGAATGTGGGAATATGAGAATATAGTGGAAGAACTGCCTAGAAAGCTATGTTGGAAGCTAGATAATGGAGATCTTGGAATGGTTGGCCAAGATTTTAGACTTTATTTTGATGACAATATTGAACCATTTAGAATTTTTGAGCATGGGTTGACAATCTATATTTTAAAAGATACCTCTATAGCTGGTGTTGAAATTCAACAGATGAATTCTGTAGAACAGAATATGAATTAGAGAAGGGCTATTGAGAATGGAAAAGAGAAAATACACATATAAAATACGATTCAGACGCTGAATGGACACAGCTATGGGGATTAAAAGAAGGGGGAGCCCAAGATGATGCCAAGGCTTTGATAATATGAAGATAGGGCCAGATGTGGTGGCTCACACCTGTAACCCCACCTCTTTAGGAGGCTAAAGCAGGAGGATTGTTTGAGGCCAGGAGTTTAAGACTAGGCTAGGCAACAAAGAGAGAATAGGTCAGACATGGTGGTGCATGCCTGTAGTCTTAGCTACTCAGGAGGCTGAGGTGGAAGGATAGCTTGACCCCAGGAGTGCGAGGTTGCAGTGAGCTGTGATTGCACCACTGCACTCTAGCCGGGCTAACAAGCAAGACCTTGCCTCTAAAAAAAAAAAAGAAATACAAACTAAAAAAAAATTGTGAACTGGAAATCATCAACATAACAGCAATAGTTGAAATGCAAGGAACAGATGAGTTTGTTCTGGTATAGCAAACTCATGTAAGAAGCAGGTGGAAAAAAATAATCTAAGACATGAGGCTAAAGCTGACGTAGGGAAATGAATCAAGATAGTGCCGTCATAGATGTCATAGAAGTAAATGCAGTACAGAGTTTATAAAGCAGAGAAATATTTTACATATCTGGCCACTGCATATGCTTTGTGGGTCACTGAGCAATCTTCCAACCTCCAACACACTTTACTCCTCCAACACATGAGCAATTCCATTCATCTGAAAACTTAATGTAAATAATGTTTTCTCTGTGGAGCTTTAGGCAGTTAAGCTTCTCTTCCTCTATAGTCCCATATCCATTGAGATATGTATTATTATACTACAATATGTTCATGCTGTTTTGTATTGTTTAAAAATATACCTAATTCCATGTTAAATTATGAGCATCTTCAGGACAGGATGGTTTCTTAATATTTTTTGCATCTCCAGGGCCTAGATAATGCCAGTGACATTGTAGATGGATAGTAAACACTTGAATGAACGAGTACAGAAGAGAAGTTTTTAATTTCAACACTAAAAGATGTAGATGATCTTCAAGAAGAACAGTTTCAACAGAGAAGGGAACTGAGAACAGCTACTGTAGGAAACTCCTTAGGGAGTCAGTAAAATATGAGGGTTAGATATCACTGGTCTGTACCCAAGATGATCAGTGCTGTGAATAGGTTATCAGTGAACCCAGATATCGGTCCCCTCAGCTACCTCCAATGTGCTATACAAATGTTATCATCTTCTATGTGTGCCACAACATGAGAAAGGTAGGAAAGCACATTTTTATTTGTGATTTGTAGACTATGAACTTCCAGTAAAGATTTGAAGGGTACTTTGGGTTGAATTTTGTCCCCCCAAAATTCATGTTGGAATCTGAACCCCCAGTGCCTCAGAATGTGACCTTATTTGGAAATAGGGTTATTGTAAATGTAATTAGTTGAATTAAGATGAGGTCATTAGTGTGGGCCCTAATCCGATATGACTGATGCCTTATAAAAAGGGAAAATTGTACACAGAGACAGATATGCACACCCTGTGAATTCTCCCTGTGAATTCTCCCTAGAATGCCATGTGAAAAATGGATGCAGAGCTACCCATGAGGCTGAAGCAGGAGGATTGTTTGAGCCCAGGAGTTTGAGGTTGCTGTGAGCTAGGCTGATGACACGGCACTCAAGCCCAGGCAAGAGAGTTAGACTCTGTCTTAAAAAAAAAAAAGCAAAGAAAAGAAAAAAGAAAAATGGATGTAGAGATCAGGGTGATCCTTCTACATGCCAAGGAAAAACAAAGATTGCCAGCAAAACTTCAGAAGCTAGGGGAGAGGCATCAAATATTTTTCTTTAATTAAAAAAAAATTAATTGGTAAATATTGTATATATTCAAGATGTAAAATGTGATGATTTGATATATATGTACATTGTGTAATAATCATCACCATCAAATCAATTAATACATTTATCACGACTTATGCTGTACATTAGATCTCTAGAACTTGTTCATCTTAGAAGAGAGTTTGTACTCTGGTCAATATCTCCCCATGGCCCCCATCCCCTAGCCTCTGGCAACCACTGTTCAACTGTTTCTATGAATTCACCTTTTTTGATTCCACATATAAGTGAGATCATTTAGTCCTTTGATTTCTGTGTCTATAAACATTTTCTTCCTCACAGCCCTCAGAAGGAACTAGCCCTGCTGACACCTTGATCTCAGACTTATAGCCTCTGGAACTGGGAGATATAAATTTCTGTTGTTTAAGCCACTCAGTTTGTGGTACTTTGTTATGGCAACCCTAGGAAACTAATATAAAGAGAAACTTCAAGTGTGCTTAAAACTCAACTCTTCATATTTCCTCCCTTTTTCCCCTCTAGGAGTTATATTCATTTTGTTTGTGAATTATACAGATGTCAGTTCAATACATATATCAAGGGGCCATTAGGTGCTACATGGGCAGTGCTGAGGATACAAAGACAAGACATAATCTCTGTGACAGATGGGTAAACATACAATTTAAATAAATGCATGAAATGCTGTGATCCAGTATGCACAGGACATTTTGGTGGCACAGGAAAAAAAAAAATTTTGCTCAGCCCAGGGATTCAGGAAAGACTTTGTGGGACAGATAATGACTGAGCTGCTTTGAAAGGAAAAGGAGGAAAAAACCAAATGAGCAGAAAGGATGTTCTAGGGAGAGGGAACACATACTCAAGATACAAAGATATTAAAGATAAGGTAGTTTGTATGGGAATTATAACTGCTTGTACTTCAATATAACTAGAGTGAAAAGTATGAGACAGCAAATGCCAGGGGTTGAGGCAGACAAGGACTATGGCATGGAGGACTTGTTTTCTCTATTAGGGAACTTGAATTTTACACTGCATGATACTAAGTAGAAGAATTATAAGCCCAGACTCATTCATATTTTAGACAAATCAGTTTGGCAGCAGTATAAAAGATGGATTAGAGAGTAAAGGGGAGAAAAAAAGAGAGTGTTAAGGAGACAAGTTAGAAGGCTACAGCAATAGTCCAGGCAAGAGGTGAACTAGAGCAGTAACAGCAGAAATGAACAAGGGACAGAATAAACAACATATATGAGGTAAAATTAGTTTAAACAGTTTGTTGCTTGATTGGAACTAGAGGGGTCTAGGATGAATCCATAGTATCTTTTTGTTTTGTTTTTTTTTGAGACAGAGTCTCGCTTTGTTGCCCAGACTATAGTGAGTGCCATGGTGTCAGCCTAGCTCACAGCAACCTCAAACTCCTGGGCTCAAGCAATCCTGCTGCCTCAGCCTCCCGGGTAGCTGGGACTACAGGCATGCACCACCATGCCCGGCTAATTTTATATATATATATCAGTTGGCCAATTAATTTCTTTCTATTTATAGTAGAGACGGGGTCTCGCTCTTGCTCAGGCTGGTTTTGAACTCCTGACCTTGAGCAATCCGCCCGCCTCGGCCTCCCAAGAGCTAGGATTACAGGCGTGAGCCACAGCGCCCGGCCAACAGTCTTCTATTTTGTCTAATACAATATTCTACTCTTAGTGGGTGCTCAGGAAATATTCAGTTTTGTATAACTGACTATAATATTTTTAAGCCTCAGCTTAAAAAATTAGTTAGGTGTCCTCCTTATATACCGCTGTGCTACACTTACACCATAGAGTCTCTATAGTAGTTAAGAGTGCAAGTTCTGGAGTCAAGTTGCATAGTTTTTAATACCAGCTCAACCACTTTCAGATTGTGTGATCTTAGGTGAGTTAACCCCTTTCAGACTCAGTTTTTTCACCTGTAAATTAGGGTTATTTTAAAGATTAAATGAGTTAATACACATAAAGAATTTAGCATAGCAGCATGTAGGGTTAATAAGCTTTGATAAGTATTACTTTACTGACTAGAACTAGGTATAAAATACTTATATGAAATGTAGGATTCTGTTTTAACCCATCTAAACTTTCAGAGGTGGAGTGATGGGGCAGGGCATTCTTTCTTTTAGTGCAAGGGCAGCATATATAATAAGAGCATAATATATCTGAATTTTTACCACTTCTGTAGAGGAAGAAAGAAGGATGAGTTGCATCTATACCAACAGACACAGGTCCTTTATTGGCCACAGCTTCTTTCAGGGCCTCTTCACTGCCATAGGGAAGTTCAGTGTACTTTGAACATGTGGCAGCACGATTTTTTGGGTCATATTGGCACTTCTCATCCTGCAAAAAAAAAAAAGTACAAATCAGATTAAAAAGTATACTTCACTTTCCTTTATAAATCACCACTACCCTAAGTCTAGATTTCAAATGTTTTCTTTCCCCACTTTAGCCTTTTCAAGTGTCTAAATCTCCTTCTTTTTAAAGAAAGAAAAATAGAATCATCCAACTCCTAACAGTCCCTGGTTTCACCAATAACAGAGGAAATACAGAACTCTTCTATTGTTGTTTTTTTTTTTTTTTTTTTTTTGGAGACAGAGTCTCGCTTTGTTGTCCAGGCTAGAGTGAGTGCCGTGGCGTCAGCCTAGCTCACAGCAACCTCAAACTCCTGGGCTCGAGTGATCCTTCTGCCTCAGCCTCCCAAGTAGCTGGGACTACAGGCATGCGCCACTAATTTTTTTTTTTCTATATATATTAGTTGGCCAATTAATTTATTTCTATTTATAGTAGAGACGGGGTCTTGCTCTTGCTCAGGCTGGTGTTGAACTTCTGACCTCGAGCAATCCGCCCACCTCGGCCTCCCAGAGTGCTAGGATTACAGGCGTGAGCCACTGCGCCCAGCCCATTGTATCTTATTGGGTGACTATGTGTGTAATGTTGCCATGTACTGACATGGGAAATTCTGAAGGAAAAGCAGTAAGGTAGAGAGGGTACTGAATTCCTTGGACATACTGAGTTTGGAGAGACTTAAGACGCGTAAGTGGGTATGTCCAGATAAGTCTGAAGTTCTGAGCAGGTGTCAGAGCTAGAGCTAGAGAGTCAAAAGCCATCAGCATATAAGTTATAGCTTAAGTTATAAGAGTGGGATGATGGGACCCAAGAAAAAGCAGAATAAGAAGAGTAATTGGCAGAGGACAGAGCTCTGGGGAAAATATCAACATTTAGGGGCAGCAGAGAAATAGGTGTTCATAAGGGAGGCTGAGAAGACATGGTCAGAGAAATGTTGTAGAAGATAAGTCATGAAAACAAAGTGATGAAGGCAGAATAGTAGTGAGGAAATTGGGGTAGGGAATAATTTAGGTCATTTTGTAAGAAGCTATAAAGCTTATCGTTGTCAATATCATCATCATGATGATCAAAATCACAAGAGAGTCTTTGTTGATGCTCCCTCAGTTTCCTAATTTTAATAAATATACATTAAAGTGCAAGTATATTACCTGTTTTTCACAAGCCAGTAGTCTTTCCCATTAAGGTTTCCATAGCCAACCACTAGTACTCCGTGATTCACAGTCTGAGTACAGGCTGGTTCATAGTAGACACCTGAGAAGAAAATAGGGGTCAGGGAAGAGGGTGACTTCTATGTGATAATAAAAGACATCTGAAATATTACTTTTTATTAGAATGTTTTGGATACCTATCAAAGTTAATTAAAATGTTAGGAACATGTACTGTCATGCTTAAATGATTTAGAGCTCATAATTCTTTGCCATCAATTCTGTATCTGTCAATTTTCTTGCCAAATTTGGCATCAATCCAATCATAGTTCCCTCAGAAACCTTCTTTGATAAGCCACCACTTTTTCTAGTTATTATTTATTTATTTAAGACAGAGTCTCACTGTCTTGCCCAGGCTAGAGTGCTGTGGCATCAGCCGAGCTCACAGCAACCTCAATCTCCTGAGCTAAAGCTGTCCTTCTGCCTCAGCCTCCCCAGTAGCTGGGACTACAGGAACGTGCCACTATACCTTGCTAAGTTTTTTCTATTTTTAGTTGTTTGGCTAATTTCTTTCTATTTATATTAGAGATGGGGTCAGTCTGGTTTCGAACTCCTGACCTTGAGCGACCCACTCACCTCGGCCTCCCAGAGTGCTAGGATTACAGGTGTGAGCCACCGCACACGGCCCCCAGTTATTTTTTAACTTCTATACAGCTACTGTATTTCTTTGTGTATACAGGTATACCATGTTTTATTACACTTTGTTTTATTGTACTTCACAGATACTGCGTTTTTTATAAATTGAAGGTTTGTGGCAACCTTGCATCTTTCAAGTTAATCGGCGCCATTTTTCCAACAGCGTGTGCTCACTTTATGTTTCTGTGTCACACTTTGGTAATTCTTATAGTATTTCAAACTTTTTCATGATTATTGTATCTATTATGGTGATCTGTGATCTTTGACGTTACTATTGTAATTTGGGGGGAGGGGACACCATGAATCGTGCCCATATAGGATGATGAACTTAATCAATAAGTGTTATATGTGTTCTGATTGCTCCACCATTCCCACACTGACCATTCTCCCATCTTTCTCCCTCTCCTTGGGCCTCTCTGTTCCCTAAGACACAACAATATTAAAATTAGGCCAATTAATAACCCTACAATGACCTCTAAGGGTTCAAGTTATAGTAAGAATCATATATCTCTTTCGCTTTAATTTTTTTTTTTTTTTTTTTTGAGACTGGGTCTTGCTCTGTCTCCCAGGCTAGAGTGCAGTGGCATAATCATAATAGGAGCGAGCTATGATGCTTAAGCCTCCCAAGTAGCTGGGATGACAAGCACATGCCACCATGCCCAGCTAATTTTTCTGTTTTTTGTAGAGATAAGGTCTCCCTCTTGCTCAGGCTTATCTAGACTCCTTGCCTCAAGCGATCCTTCCACCTCAGCCTCCCAAAGTGCTAGGATTACAGGCGTGAGCCACCGTGCCTCTCTCACTCTAACTCAAAAGCTAGAAATGATTAAGCTTATTGAGGAAGCTATGTGGACTACTGAGATAGGCTGAAAGCTAGGCTTCTTGTGCCAAAGAGCCAAGTTGTGAATGCAAAGGAAAAGTTATTGGAGGAAATTAAAAATGCTACACCACTGAACACATAAATGATAAGAAAACAAAAACAGTCTTATTGCTGATATGGAGAAACTTTTAGTGGTCTGGATACATCAAACCAGCCATAACATGCCCTCAGGCCAAAGCCTAATCCAGAGACCCTCACTCTCTTCAATTTTATGAAGGCTGAGAGAGGTGAGGAAGCTGTAGAAGAAATGTTTGAAACTAGCAGAGGTTGGTTCCTGAGTTTTAGGGGAAGAAAAGCCATCTTCACAACATAAAAGTACAAGGTAAAGCAACAAGTGCTGATGTACAAGCTGCAACAAGTTATCCAGAAGATCTAGCTAAGATCATTGATGAAGGTGGCTACTCAAAACAACAGATTTTCTGTGTAGACAAATAGCCTCATATCGGAAAGGACTTTCATAGGTGTAGAGGAGAAGTCAATACCTGGCTTCAAAGCTTCAAAAGACAGGCTGAATCTCCTGTTAGGAGCTAATGCAGCTGGGGAGTTAAAGTTGAAGCCAATACTCATTTCCCATTTGGAAAAATCCTGGGGACCTTAAGAATTATGCTAAATCCACTCTGCGCATACTCTATAAATGAACAACAAAGCCCAGCTGATAACATATTAGTTTACAACATGGTTTACTGAATATTTTAAGCCCTCTGTTGAGAACTACTGTTCAGAAGAAATGCTTCCTTTCAAAATATTACTATTCATTGACAATGTACCTGGTCACTCAAGAGCTGTGTTGGAGATGAATAAGGAGATCAGTGTTATTTTCTTTTCTTTTTTTCTTTTTTTTTTCTTAATTTCAGCATATTATGGGGGCACAAATGTTAAGGTTATGTATATTGCTCCATGCCCTCTCTCCTCCCTTGAGTCAGAGCTTCAAGTGTGACCATCCCCCAGACGGTACACATCTCATCTGTTATGTATGTATATACCCATCCCCTCTTCCCCCCTCTCACCTGCCGGACACCTGGATAAATGTTATTCCTTATGTCCACTTAGGTGATGATCAGTTAATACCAATGCTTCTAACACAACATCCATTTTGCATCCCATGAATCAAGGAGTAAGTTCAACTTCCAAGTCTTATTATTTAAGAAATATATTTCATAAGGCTATAGCTGCCATTGATAGTGATTCCTCTGATAGATCTGGGCTAAGAAAATTGATAACCTTCTGGAAAAGATTTATCATTCTAGATTGTAATTAAGAACATTTGTGGTTCATAATAGGAGATCAAAATATCAACATTAACATGAGTTTGGAAGAAGCTGATTCCAGCCCCCATGGATGACTTTGAAGGATTTGAGACTTCACTGCCCATGTGGTGGAAATTTCAGGAGAACTAGAATTCTAAGTGGAGCCTGCATGTGGGACTGAATCACTACAATCTCATGATAAAATTTGAATGGATGAGGAGTTGCTTCATATGGGTGAGCAAAGAAAGTGGTTTCCTGAGATGGAATCTACTGGTGAAGATGCTGTGAACATTGTTGCAATGAGAGCAAAGGATTTAGATACCACTTAAACTTAGTTGATAAAGCAGCAAAGGGGTTTGAGAGGAATGATCTCAATTTTGAAAATTCTACTGTGGGTGAAAGGAAGAGTCAATTAATGCAACAATCTCATTGTTTGTCTTATTTTAAGAAATTACCACACGCCTGTAATCCTAGCACTCTGGGAGGCTGAGGCAGGTGGATTGCTCAAGGTCAGGAGTTAGAAACCAGCCTGAGCAAGAGTGAGACCCGTCTCTACTATAAATAGAAAGAAATTAATTGGCCAACTAATATATATAGAAAAAATCAGCTGGGCATGGTGGCGCATGCCTGTAGTCCCAACTACTCGGGAGGCTGAGGCAGTAGGATCGCTTGAGCCCAGGAGTTTGAGGTTGCTGTGAGCTAGGCTGACGCCACGGCACTCACTCTACCCTGGGCAACAAAGCGAGACTCTGTCTCAAAAAAAAAAAAAGAATATATAAAAGAAAGAAAGAAATTACCACAGCCACTCAACCTTCAGCAACCAGCACCCTGATCAGTCAGTAGCCATCAACACTGAAACAAGGCTCCAAAAAGAAAGCTCAGATCATTACTGTTTTTAGCCATAAAATATTTTTAGATTAAGATATGTATTTTTTTAGACTTAATGCTATTGCACACTTAATAGACTACATTATAATGTAAACATAACTTTTACATGCACTGGGAGACCAGAATATTTGTGTGATTTACTTTATTGTGATATTTGCTTTACTGAGGTGGTCTGGAATGGGACCTGCAATATCTCTGAGGTATGTTTGTATTCCTAATTTTTTTCAGACACTTTCATCCTTTAGTAGATTAAATGCTCTTTAATGAGGTTTAAAAATATATTACAGTCTTCTATTTTTTTTTTTTTTTTTTT